CCCTAGACTGCGTTCTATACTGAAGAAGAAAATATGATAAAAAGGATATTACTGACATTACCTGGTCAATTGACAAAGCTGAAATTGAAATAGTAGATTAAAGTATTAATATTAAAACAATTATTAATCAGCAGCCTGTATTGTTAGCAGATTGTGTTGTTTATCATCTTTAATACACAAAACTTTTATTTTTCAAAAAATATATATTTCAGTTAATATTTTAATGTGCCTATAAAAAAGAAAAATTAGAATATTTGGAAAGTAGATGAAAGTATCAAAAAGATTGTTAAAATGACTCAGCGATAACTACTATAGACCTTTTGGTTTATTTTCTTTCAGTTATAAAAGTCATACTTTTTTTCCTAAGGTAATTTATTCTATATAACAGTTTTTTGTTGCCTTGAATCATTTCTGGTTCTTTTTCAAGGTCCAGATCAAGTTTTCAAACTTCTTCATGTTGAAATATAACACCATGTGTAAAAGAATTCTGTAAACAGACAATCCTATAGAATGCTTTCTACTTTTCCAGCTTCCTCATTGTTTCTCAGAGAGGTGCCCTTCTGGCTCATGGGTTCTGAGGCCTCTGGTGAATTGGTTTGAGGAGTCTCACGCTCTAGAAGACATCAGAAATACCCAAAGTGCTAATTAAAAATGCACACCTCAGGACTCTACTCCTAGATATTTCAAGGTAGAGTAGGTAGAGAGGGGCTCCAGGAATATTTTAAAATTCAACTTTTCATAAAAATGTACCATTAACACGTATATATCATAGGATACCATGCAGCCATAAAAAAGAATGAGAGCATGTCTTTTGTGAGACATAGATGGAGCAGAGGCCATTATTCTTAGCAAACTAATGCAGGAACAGAAAACCAAATGCTATGTGTTCTCTCTTATAAGTAGAAGCTAAATGATAAGAACTTATAAACACAAAGAGGAAAACAACAGACACTGGGATTTACTTGAAGGTGGAGGTTGGGAGGAGGGAGAGAAGCAGAAAAGATAACTATTGGGTACTGAGCTTCATACTTGGTTGATGAAATAATCTGTATAACAAACCTCCATGATATAAGTTTACCTAAGAACCAAACCTTCACATGTACCCCAAAACCTAAAATAAAAGTTAAAAAAGAAAAAGAATGTTGAGGTCAGTAAAGGCTTTAAGAGGATTAAAAAAAATTTACCATTTATACAGAATTGTGCATGAAATCATGTGTACAGCGTGGTGACTTTTCACAAGTGAATATACTCATCAATATTGTTTTATACAGTTGTAATTCATTCATTCTCATTGTTGTATTGGATTTATTTATTTATTTAATTTTTGGGGGATGGGGCTTGCTATGTTGTCCAGGCTGGGCTTGAACTCCTGGGCTGAAACGATCCTCTAGCCTCAGCCTCCCAAATAGCTGAGATTGTAGGCATGTGCCACAGTGCCCGATTTGCTGGATTAAGGTTTAATTATATATTATACATACATCATTTACTTGTTCATTCTACTGTAAATTGACATTTGAATTGTGGCCAAGTTTGGGTTCTTACAAACAGTGCTGTTCTGAATATTTTAGTGGTTGTCTTTGGTCTTAGTGCATGCATATTTTCAGCTTGAATTGACACTGTCAGTTTTCCAAAGATAGAACTTCCGTTTATTTTCACACTTGCAGTATATTCTAGTTGCAGTATATTCTAGGTATCCTAGTTGCTCTATATCCTCACAAACATTTGGCTTTATCTGTCTTTTTCATTTTAGCCAGTCTGTGTAGTTGTGTTCCACTGTGGTTTTACTTTTCATTTCCCTGATGAAGTGAAAAAAATTTTCATGTATTTATTGGCTGTTTGAATATTGTCTTTGGTGAAAAGTTTATTCAAGCCTTTTGCCCATTTTTCTGGTGGGCTGGCTACCTATTTCTCAAAGATTTTTGGCATTCCTTATATATTCTATGTTTGAATTATTTAATGACTATACATATGTATGATCAATATTTCTTGTACTCTGTCACTTGCTTTTCAGTTTCTTAATTGCATCTTTTGATTAATAGAAGTTTCTAATTTTAATGTATTACTATTTATCCATTATTCCTTTTGAAGGTAGCACTTTTTCCGTACTGTTTAGGAAACCACTGGCAACATCAAGTCATACAGATGTTCTTCTATATTTTCTATAAGTTTTTTTGCATAGACATCTTTTTAAAAACAATTATCTAAAAAATTCTGATACAGACAGTTCACATATCACATTTTGCAAAACCTTGCAATTTTCTGCTCTAAGCCTCACAAATCCTTAAAAAGCTATGCACCCTTTCCCTAAGCCAGGGTCCCCATCCTTGACTTCCCTTCTTCAAGGTGGGCTCACCACACAAGCCCTCATTGTCAGGTTATTGTATTTTCTCGGAGAACTCTACAGCAGGGACACACTCGCAAACTTGCCAGGGCTGGGTGTAAATGAGCGATGGAATAGGGTGGGGACCATGGTGGCTGGAGAACAAATGTCCTATAGAGCGACAGCAACCACTCAGCCCCAGCTGACTGTTGCCATATGACAATGAGACTCCTGGGCTACAGATCTTCCACGTTTCGAAACAAACCCAAGCATCTGGGTTATGTGGAACATTTCAATTTCTAAATGATGTCAAGCAGTTCAAATTAAAAATTCACTGTGTGGGCCAGAAAAAAATAAAGAAGATGTTTGTGGGTTTGCTGTAGTCTATGGTCAAACTCTGTCCCAGGAAAGCAGGCTGCCACTCCAAGTGTGGTCCTGGGAGCAGCAGGAGGAGTATCACCTGTGAAAACATCAGAAATGCAGAACCTCAGCTTTCAAATACTGAAGCAGAATCAGCATTTTATCAATATCCATAGGTGATTCATAGGTACGATAAAGTTTCAGAAGCACCAATCTAGACATATGGTTCTCAACACTGGCTCAAATTAGAATCATTTGAAGAACTTATTATTAAAAAAAAGATCTATGGCTGTACTATGGACTACAAAAATCTGAATCTCTAGGGATGAAGCAATATTTTTTCTTTTTATTCTTTTATTGTTTTTAATTTTTGTGGGTACATATTAGGTGTATATATTTATGCAATACATGAGATATTTTGATATAGGTGTATACAATGGGTAATAATCACATCAGGGTAATTCACATCGCCTCAAACATTTATCCTTTCTTTTTGTTACAAACAATCCAATTATACTCCTTTAGTTATTTTCAAATATACAATAAATTATTGTTGACTATAGTCACCCTGTTGTGTTATCAAACATTCGATCTTATTTATTCTATCTAACTGCATTTTTGTACCCACTAACATCCCTACTTTCCCCCAACACACACACCCTTCCCTGCCTCTGGTAACCATCATTCTACTCTTTTTCTTCATGAGTCCAATTGTTTTAATTTTTTTTTTTAGCTGGGATGAAGCAATATTTTTAAAAGGCAACCTAGATGATTCAAATAGGCAGCTGGGGTTCAAAAGCACTAATTTAGATCAATCCTTCATTTGTAAGTGGGGAAAGTGAAAACTCACAGAGTGGACAGGTGAAGTGTCTTGCCCAGGGTCACTGAACTCATGTATGGGAAGATTTGATTTGTGCTCATTCTCATTTCTTGTTATTCCCAAGCCAGTGCCTTTTTACTGCAGTTGCTTTTGCTTCCTCGGGGCAGAACTGAAAAATGATCCTGTTCGACTGTAGCTCATTGCTGCCAGGTTTCCAGCTAAGCTGCTTAGCTTTCAGCACTGAACAGCTAACAAGATTTACTGGATGAAGAGCTGACAGGCCCCTGCTTCTGCCTATTCCAGCTGAAATCCACTTCATTCTTCATGTACATCACCCAAAACAGTGCTAACTGCTCCCACTGTGAAGAAATGGAAGGTCCCCAACTTGAGTGTCAAAATCCCCCTCCATAGACACAGAATGGAGACACAGACTATTAGCAGCAATATGAGAATTTAGGTTCAACATTAACCAGAAGTGAGTGTGACTGCTCCACCCCTGTTGCATTCTTGAGCTGTATCATTAGAAGCACAGATCCAGTATGCAAAACTTGGTAGGCCTCTTTGGCTCTGATGCACAATTTTACAAGCAAATTCAATGAGTGACTCACAAATAGTGGTTGAGCCAAGGTTCTCTAACTCTGCTTTTCAGGACCAGGTAATACTTATCACATTCTGACTCCATAGTACAGTTCTTGAACAGGTTTATGGAAGAAAAGGACAGAATCCATCAACTAAAATTAATGTGTGAAGGACTTGAGTTTCCTTGTTGTATTTTGGGGATGCCATAAAGGAGACCCATGCTCTACAGCAATGTTTTTGACATTTCCCACTGTGTCTACTTCATTTTGCTTTATAGGCACACCATCTTCTTTCTTTTCAACTCGCTGCCATCAAAGTTTCCTCCTCCCCAGCCCTAGCCTGTGTCTTGATCTTCTTTCTTCTTCTTTTTACTCCACTTCTACCATTGTGAAGACAGTACTTTTCAGAGAGTTGGGAAGAAAGAGAGTCCTGACAGGACCCTATTTAATGGTCAGACAGAAGGACAGTTGGGGACAATTATACATGTCAGGGTCATTACAACCACACCCCAATTGTCTCCCTAATGATGCCAATGTCTGTCTCCACTCCAGCCCTTCCATTATCTGCCCCTATTGAACCTTAAGCCTTGCTGTAGTCAGATCTGTGATGACTTGTGTAGGCTCAATGTATATTGAGCACCTTCAGTGTTCTAAGCCATGAGACCTAGTTTGATATGTGAATAGGGATCTGCTTTTCAATAAGATGGGCATACCCAGGTTGATGCTGGATTGAGATGGCATGTATGACAGTTCTTTGATAATAGCTTAGATAATTACAAGGCAATGGTGATAACAATTAGAATTCTTCCATGCCACTAATCGTGGAAAAAAGTTGTCACTTGACAAAAACTGCAGCCTTGCTTATAACTTGCTTCCAACTTCCTTACACTCTTAAGATGACCTTTTATTTCATCTTCTACAGGTAAAGAAACTCCTTCCAAGGATCCAACTATATCGAGTGAGTGTACAGCCTCATCTGAATACAAGGAAAAATGTTTTCTACCACAGAACATGAATCCAGGTATCCAAATCCCAAAGACAAGCCCTATTCTTCCATGCTGAGTATTGCAGTAACCTCTTTATCTCTCCCATCTAAAGAGCCCCTCCCTCTTTCCCTTTTGATGAAAAGATTTTGACTATGCTATTTGCTTGCTCACAAATCTTCTGTTGCACTCCATTGCCTACAAAATTAATTTTAACTTTCTCAAGCTGTCACTCAAAGCTCTTCACAATCTGGCACTTATTAGGAGCTCCATACTTACTTGCTTTGTTAAAGAAAGTATATCATAACTTAAGATTTGAAGGTGTTGAGAGATAGGGGTAATTAAAATATTTATATTCAACATGGTACCTCAAAGAGTTGTTCATACATTGTTGCTGCTCAGAAAATCTTTGATGATTAAACACATGGGCAGCAAGCGGTGGCTCTTGCCTGTAATCCCAGCACTTTGGTAGGCTGAGATGGGAGGATCACTTGAGCCCAGGAGTTGGGGCCTAGCCTGGACAACAGAGTGAGACCTCATCTCTAAAAAAAAAAAATCAGAAAATTAGCCAGACATAGTGGCATATGCTTGCAGTCCCAGCTACTTGAAAGGCTGAGATGGGAGGACTGCCTGAGCCTGGGAGGTCGAGGCTGCAGTAAGCTGTAATTGCACCACTGTACTCCAGCCTGGGTAACAGAGTGAGACCTTTCCTCAAAATAAATAAATAAATGAATACATGAATGGCTGAATGAATATGTGGAGGCCACTTTTACATTCTATATGATACTCGACATAGTACTTTATATGTAGTAGGTTCCGAGTGAATATTTGTTAAATAAGTGAATAACTAAATGAATATGTGAAGTGAGATTGGCTTGAGCAGAAGGGCATCTGTATGAATCTTTCAGAAGCAGAAAAAGTTTTGAAATTAATGTGAAAAAAATCTTATTCTTAATACACATCCTCTCACAAAATCCCCTTTGAAAGACATTGATGAAGCCTGCAAAGAGAAAGTTGTCATCAGAGGAAAGGTGCATCTCAGCTGAACTCTGTACCAGAAACTCTGAGGACAAACCTGTAGAAGACTTGATTTCTGTTGTACAGTAGATGGGACCATTTTAAAGGGCAATTCACATGCCAAATGATCCTCACATGTTTTTCTCATTTTTGCTTGCCCATTGCTAGGTGGAAGCGCCCAAATCTCCATTTAGCTGATGGGAAACAGAGTGTCAGAGAGGGAAATAACTTCACCACGACACAGTTAACACATGATGAGGAAGGGCCTTGTTCAAAACCCACGACTCTCCTTCACCCTCCAAAAATGTAGCTCTCCCTGTAACACAAAATATAGACTTGTGAAAAAGATTATAAATATTTAAAGGATCTAGACCACGTAAATAGATATTATATACATGTCACACCAGGTTCTTTCTTTTCCCAAATTCAGACAAGATCGGGCGTGTTCAGGGTGGTATAGCCGTAGGCCCGATTTCAAATTCTGTCAAACTTCTTGGTTGACAATGAGAAAAACTTTGCCCTTTGTTTCTTGATACTGTGTTAATCTGCTTATCTGTCTGTCAGCTTGGACCACCCCCGAAAAAACCTGAATTACCATCTGTTGTTTCATGAGCTCTGTAGAGTCAGCTTTTGCCTTATCAATGCATGAAGGCCAGTGAACAAAGGGTATCTGTAGGTGAAACTGAACTGACCTCGGGCTGAACTTGTCCATCTTTCAGCATTTTCCACCCTGATGCTGTTTCCAGGAAGGTCACGGAGTAAGAAGGGGAGATGGCTGTAGCTGCCAACCTCTCCTTAATGCAGTGCAGTTGCAGACAGAATCAGTCAGACATATTATCACAATTACAGAACTGACTTTGAGAAGGATTAATCTGTGGCACAATCCACTTCATGAAAACAATATTGAGCTTGACTTCCTCCCTGCTCTAGTGATGCAGAGGGCACTGCAGGATCCCACTGTGGGCCCAGAAGTTCTGCCCTAAGTATCAGTTCTCACGGTTGAGATCTCAAGAGCAGTCTGCTTAATTAAGTCCAGGTATTTTGAGTTCCATATTCATGGATTCATGTGCATGGCAAGGAGATTCACACCTAAGGCCCTGACTGTCAGTCAGCAGGGGCTACTCTAAGAGATTTGAATGGGTATTGTGGACCAGATGTTGGAAGGATGGATGAGATGGGTTTCATAGAAAGGAATCATAGAATCAGTTATTGCCAAGGTTAATAGTCATGATCATCTAAGGACAGCCAGCCATGAGCAGTACTTGCTGGTGATGGGGAGGTGAGGAGGGGCAACAGCTAATGCTTAATGTGTTTATTGAATATTTAACATGTACCAGGCACTGAGTAAAAAGATTTATATGCACGATGTTATTTAGGAAGAATTTTTTTTTTTTTTCCCTTGAGACAGGGTCTTGTTCCATTGCCCAGGCTGGAGTGCAGTGGTATGATGTTGACTCACTGTGACCTCAGCCTCCTGTGCTCGAGCCATCCTCCTATCTCAGCCTCTGAGTAACTGGGCTACAGGTATGCACCACCATGCCCAGGCCACCATGTCTGGCTAATTTTTTTTTTCTTTTTTTGTCAGAAGACAGGGTTTTGGCATGTTGCCCAGGCTGGTCTTGAATTCCTGAGCTTAATCTCTCCTCCTCTCTTGACCTCCCAAACTGCTGGGACTACAGGCATGAGTCACTGCACCCAGTCTAGTAAACATCTTAAAACCCCTGTGGGATGGGTACCATAAAAGCCATTTTGCTAAAGGGAAAAGCCATGCACAGAGAGGCGATTAATTGTTTAAGGTGGCACAGTTACTGAGGGACAGAGCCCAGTCTTGAGCTGGAGCCTGCATGACCCCTCCCTGGGCTTCATCTTTGTGCCGTACCTCCTCCTAGAGCTCAGCATGCAATGAGGCTACCAGATGGAGGCCTGGATGGATGGGGGCTGCTGAAGAAAAGGGGATTGCATGAGATTAGAGGACAAGCCTAGGAGGAACTGAGTGGAACAAACACCCACGTGAAGTTTACATCAAAGTCAGGTCATTTGGGAATGTCGTAGAAGAGCTCATTTGCAGCCACAGCATTTTCACGACTTCTAGGTTAAAGATAAGCCTTTTAAAGGTAGAAGTCCACAGCTGCTTTGTGAACTCAGGCCAGCATGATAGGGGTCATCTCTAATGTACTCAGGAATTTAAAATGGTCCTGGCAAGTTGAGGCTGGAAGTGAGACCTCTGTGATGATCTATTCCAATGCCTTCTCGGTTTATTGGTTTATTGTGTTGAATAATTCTTAACAGGATTGCTGCTTACTGTCTAAAGAAGACACATTGCAAAGTGCAATTATACAATGAACCTCCTCAGTGTGACTTTTCTCTACAACACTATCCAAAGGACTTCAAGCACTCCATCTCTCTGTCACTTGACCCCGTTAATTTTTTTTCATAGCACTCTTCTCCATCTGAAACTATTGTGTTTGTGGAATTTCTTGCGTAGTTACTCACTTACCAAGAAGAATACAAGCTCCATCAGAACAGGGACTGCCTGTTTTGTTCTCTGCTGAGAAGCCCGTAAAACAGCTTCTGGCTCACAGAAAGCTCTCAATGAGTATCTGTTCAATGAATGTGCATTTTGGAGAAATTAAAGGTAGACTTTAATACATTAACTAATTACCCTGACAAACATTAATAATTGCAGTATCAGAAAAAACAGGTTAGAGAAAATGCGTTTATGTGTAATGTGTTTATGTTTATGTGTATGTGTTTATGTGTAATGCACAAAGTATATGTCTATTACATAAGATAATTTGACATATAAGTACATTTCCTTAAATATGAGTAAAGTCCTATTGATTCTAAACTTTCACAAGTTATTCACAGGGAGTGATGTATGTCCTAGCTGGTCCTGTATCAGCACCATCACATCAGTGACAGGCAGTGTAGGAATAAACCCTGTGCAAAGCAGAAATAACCAACGTGAGTGCATCAACTCTTGCGATTCCAGAGCCCCCCTGGGTTCAGTACGTGTTTTTCCTCTAGGGAGGACCATTTAAAGGGGTGCTCCAAGGAGTGTTAAGACCCCTCTCATCTGTAACTAATGAGGACACCAGTTGAGGGTTCAGGTATACATGTAGGGGAAACACTGTGGGTTTATCTAACTCTTTCTTCCATTTTATTCTATTTACAGCCTGATCCTTCTCTCTCTGTTCTCTTTAAGACCTGACACTCTCCTTCTGTGTAAAGAGCCGCTCCAGGAGGTGTGTAAACGGACCCTTGCAGGAAGCTGCTCGGAGGCGGCTCTGGGCGCTGGAGAATGAGGACCAGGAGGTGCGCATGCTGTTTAAGGTGAGCATGAAGGAAACAGGTGAATGCATGAAGGAAACAGGTGAATGCTGAGTGCTGACGGTGTCAGTCTGCTATAGGATCCCTAGCACCCAAGACAGCATCTGGAACAAAGTAGGCCCTCGGAAAAAACATCTAATAGATAGACTGAATGAATGAAAGATTCCGTGCACATTCTCTGCACAGGAGTGGAGAGGAATGGGCAGGAGCTCTGAATGGGGTAACTTGGAGTTGCTGAGTCAGAGAAAATTTGGTTTTAAATCTTCTGTTAGTTGTGTGATCTTTGACAAGTTACTTAACCTATATAGAATGGTAATTGTTATAATACATACCTCATTAAGCATACTTTTTTTCTAATGTGATAATTTCAAATTCTTTTTTTTACTGTGATACAATATACATAACATAAAATTTTCCATTTTAATCATTTTTTAAGTGTACAATTCACTATGGCACTAAGTACATTCACAATCTATGAACCTCCAGAACTTTTTCATCATCTCAAACTGAAATTTCACATCTATTAAACAATAACTCCCACTATCCCCATGTCTCAGCTCCTGGTAACCACTAAGTATATATTTTTAAAGTACTAAGATTGCCAGTTAAACAACAATACCTTATAAATACTTGGGTGAGAGGAGAAAAAAACAATAAAGTAAATAAACCAATTTCTCATCTTTCATAGTAGGTAGATAATATCTTCATTTGTTAAAACCAAGAAAGAAGGGTGTGATCAAATTATTTACGGTTTAGGATGTACTAAGGAGGAGAACTAAAGTCAGAAATGGAAAAAAATAGTTTCGACTAGAGGTAGGGAAAGGATAATATTACTTTACATAATAAACTAATATGTTCTAGTTACTTTTTACAGTTTCTGCAGGAATCTGGTACAAACTGAAAGAGAAAGGTGGTCTAAATGTCATGCAGCAGAAAAAGATAAAGTCTGGTTTTTCAGGGGGAAAACATGAGATGGTATCAGTAGAGAGCTTGGCATTGTGTTTGGTGATATGTGTTCTATAAATAGTAGCTACGTTTTTTGGAATTTCATTTTATTTTTTTAATACCTGGAATTCAGGAGCTGGGAGACATTGGCTGCTATTGGTACTGTAGATTTTCCTTTATTTTGAGTCTCATTTGGTATGGCAGGAGCAGGGTTGATTGAGAGAGCTGGTCTGCTGGGCTGAAGCTTGAGTCAGACAAACTTGTGGGCTAAAGTTGAGGTCTGGAGTCAGCTAGATCTGAAATCTAATCAAGGTTCTCTGCAACGTACTCCCTGAAGGTGACCTTGGGCAATTTGCTTAACCTCTCTGTGCCTTGGCCCCCTTGAATATACAACAGGGATAATGTCATTTTTCATTAGATCTAAGATGCCACTGACTATAAAATGCACTGTTATTTTATGTACCTCCAAAAAAGAAAACAAATGCTTCCAGTTATGGTTGATGACACACTTCCTTATCTTTTAGTTCAGAAGTGGTTAAATGTGATCAAAGCACATTTTGGAATGGACTAAATACTGTCATTGCGTTCTTTTCATAGGACTTTTGTTGGAGTTAAATGACATATTGCTCATAAAGCTCTGGGTGAAGTGCCAGGGATGTAGTAAATTCTCTATAAGTTGATTTTTACCTAGCACCCCTTCCCTAATGATGGATCTGGGGCCTCCTGGGGTTTGGTATGGCAGAAGGAACCCCAGAGTTCTGATTTTACTGAACTGGGGCTTTTCTTCTGGATTCTTCTATCTTCTTCTGCCTCTAAGTTTCCCTCATGATAGGGCTCCTGGAGTTGGTACTGATGACAGCCCCTGACCTGGTGGAGGGATGTTCTGACCATTACTTGTTATAGTCAACTCCAGAGGCTTGAACAAACAACAGATGTAAGGGAAAACTAAGTCTGGGCAGTGATTCAGACCTGCTTTTTTTTTTAGGTATTAAAAAAAAACCCATGCTGGGCGCGGTGGCTCACGCCTGTAATCCCAACACTATGGGAGGCCAAGGTGGGTGGATCATGAGGTTAGGAGATCGAGACCATCCTGGCCAACATGGTGAAACCCTGTCTCTACTAAAATACAAAAAATTAGCCGGGTGTGGTGGTGGGTGCCTGTAGTCCCAGAGGCTGAGGCAGGGGAATTGCTTGAACCCGGGAGACAGAGGTTGCAGTGAGCCGAGATTGCGCCACTGCACTTCACTCCAGCCTGGCGACACAACAAGATTCTAAAAAACAAACAAGCAAACAAGCAAAGAAACAAAGAAACAAACAAAAACAAACCCAAGAGGCTTATAGTCCTCTCGCTCTCCTTATGAGCATGTAAGTTGGAATGCCTTCCTGGGGCACAGTTGGGTGACTGCATTTTAGGATTGAAAATGTGCATATCCTTGCATTTCTAATTGCACTTCTTAGAATTACTTGTTAAAACAATTAAGAATGTGCGCAGAGATTTAGCTATAAAGATGCTTATCATAGTACCATTTAGGATTTTAAAGAATGTGAAACAATCCAAACGTAAAACCATAAGGAAATGATAATAATGCATTATGTTAATGCAACAATGGCCTATGTAACCATTAAGAATGGTGTAAACTATGTGATGACATGGAAGATGCTCTGCAAAATATTGCTTAGCAGCAAAAGAAGATTGCAAAATAATTTATGCAATGTGATTCTATGTATGTGAAATAGTTGTATGGAAACTCGTGTAGGAAAAAAGATTCAAAGTTCTTACATGAAGGTGCTAACATTGATGATTTTTAGGGGTGAGGACTGGGATGATTATTTTTGTGTGTCTTGGTTTTTCTGTTTTCAGCTTTATATTAATAAAAATAATCATTAGTCATAGACTCACAATCAAATTTGCTTTCAAGATGCCTTCTATGAATCATCCTCCTTTATCCTCCCACATACACTTTTTTTTTTTTTTAACACAAAAAGTAGCATTCTCTGCACATAGTTCTATTCCCTGGCTTCTTTTCGCTGCTGCTGTATAGCAGTATTATATCTGGAGCCTATATCAGTACACAAAGAGCTTCTTTCTTCTTTTCTGTGGCTGTATAATACAATATTTCACTTTATGGATAAATTGTACTCTATTTTAGCCAATCTCTTATTGATGAATATTTAAGTTGTTTCCATTTTTTGGTGATGTAAAAATCAATGCCATAATCAAGAAGTTCATACAGAGTATTTGGTCTGTATACGAGCTTGCTAATGGGACACTTCTGTCATCCCAGGCTGACTTATTGTTTTCTTTACGTAGGACCTCTCAGCAAGGTTGGTCAGTATCCAGTCTCAGAGGTCCCAGTTTCTCATCACCTTCAAGACCATGGAGGAAATTTGGAAGTTCTCCACGTACCTTAATTTAGGTATGATACAAAGCCAGCAGGTGGAGGATGACCTCCTCCACAGTTTAGCCAACTTGTAGGGCTTGACATTAAGGAATTGGTGTGGCTCTGGTAATTAAGAGAAATAGAGCCTTAAAAAAAGATGATTAACTTTTGAAATATCACAAAATGCCTCAAACTAAATCTAAAGCAAATATTAACTATTATTCTAAAATGCCATATGAAGAAGTTTGCTTTTTTTGTGTCCAGGGAGATCCTTTTTTATTAGATAACCAGTCAACTGGAAAACAGTTATTGGTCATCTACTAAGTTCAAAGTACTGAAATAGATGTGAACCTGGTGCTAGTGTGTGTGTTTTAAACTATAGGGAATTAATCTTGAGTAAGATCAAAGTAGCTGCTCAACATAGTAAACAGCAAATTTCCAGATGTGTTATCGCATGTATTTGGAAAAGAGTTAAAGAAAGAAATAGGGAAATTATCTGCTTATAGCATCCTAAGGCTGCAGGGTTTTCTAGAAGGTAAAGAAGGACACTGGGATGCAGCATCAGTTCCATTGTGGTGGGAAATGGTTCACCTGCCTTCTCCAGAGAGAAAAACTTATAATAGGGAAGTTAAAGCAAAGCCAAACAAAACAAGAGGCCACCTAATTTGATGGATGTTTTATATCTCTCAGAAAATGCTGGGCTCCATGCCGACATACACAAGGACAGATTTTGTGCAGGGGTGGAGGGTCAAGACGACTCATGACTGGAAGACATAGGGTATAACTTCTCCTCTTATGGTCTGGAGATCTGCTGTCCACACTACACAACTCCTTCCTGACGATCAGACATCCTCACTATTCAAACTGTGCTCCATAGACCGGCTGCATTGGCAGCACATGGGATCTGTTAAAAAAAAAAAAAAAAAAGAGAAGCTCAACCCTATCTCAGACCTTCACTAAGCATCTGTAGTTTAATAAGATCCCCATGTGATTTGTGTGCACATTAAAGTTCAAAAGTGCAATTATAGAAGATACATAAGGCCTAGATCAGCACAATGGATAGTCAGGATGGAAACAGACAGGCTTTTGCATCTTAGGAAAAAGAAGAAGGCTCAAGAGAAGCAATGTATGTGAGTAGTCATGTTTATGGCCATGTTTAAAATACTATGTATAATTACTAGAGTTTTATAATATACATAGTTTTTAGTCTGCGTTTACCAGAGAGATCTTCTGGGCATTGGAGGAGGGGCAGGGTCAGAGCTGGTAGGTGGAAGCAAATCCGGACTCCTGAAATTCACTGAGGGGGAACCATGTAGCACCTCTTCAGCCACTGCATCATCAGGGGCACAGTAGTTTGAACCTCAGGTCTGGAGAACTTTAAGGGGGCACTAGGAACCCCCATAGTCAACACTGTAAACTTGGAGACCTCCATGGATATATTAGAAAAAGGCAGTTGGTTTTGGTCATCTCATTACGCATTTATGGAAACCCACAATATGTCAAAATGGTAAATAACATTTAGAAATGACTTGTATTTCCCAATAGAAGTTGAGAAGACTCAACTCATTCTAGAAAATGTCTAGCTTTCCCTCTTATGCTGTTTTAATTCCGGTTAAATGGCAGGTTGGGGCTTGTGGTCTGGGAATCAAGCTCAGGAGGGAATTTTCTCACTCTCTTCTGTGCTCAGCTATGTCAGAAATCATTTTGTTCAGAAATCCTGTTGGCTTGACTTCTTAGGCTATGTATCCGTGTGTCTGGAACATCTCCTCTTTGACCACAAATACTGGCTCAACTGCATATTGGTGGAGGATACGGAGATCCAAGTGTCTGTAGATGATAAACACCTGGAAACAATATACTTGGGACTCCTGATACAGGAAGGTGAGTGCAGCATAAGGGTAGGGATGGGGTCTTATTCAGATATTTGCTACCAGTGGCCCTGAAATAAGCAGGATACGAAGGGAGGGAAAAATCATTGAAACATGGAATATTCATAAATGAACCCACTTGTTATAATAGTACTTTGAACATTCCTCTCAGTTAAACACCGACATTACATGAACAGCTGTGCTGGTCGGTCTCACTGATTGATATTAGAGCTGCTTGGAGAGTTTTACTAAGATACCCATATCAGGGCTCCACTTAGGCCCATTAAATCTCTAAAGGTCGGGGCCCAGGCACTGGCATATTTTGGAAAGTTTTCCACGTAAATCTAATGTCTATCCAAAATCGAGAAACACTTTTCCAAACATGTGATAAAATTTGATTGTAAAATAAAGTTGCAAATGTTGCAAAACTTGAAGTTTTTTATGAGATTGAGGAAGGTGATGTTGAGGAACCTCTTGGAGCACCTCTTGATCTGTTTATAGGTGAGAGTCCCATCAAGGTTATCATCTACCAGTTAACAACTATGAGGTGGATAAGCCTGATGACATCACAGACACATGGAAAGAGCCAGATTTGCATATGATATTTTTGCAAAAAGGATTCTTCTTAGGATTGCATTACACAAATATTGCATGAAGGAAAAAATTTAATATCATGCTATTATAAAACTTATTGGAGTAATTATATTCACCCAAACTAATTTAATCAATTCCTTTTTGGTTCTAATTTTAATCATGAGGTTGCAACAATAAATGAAATTCTGTTCAATATAAACATATTTTCACAAGTTTTCATCCCTTTTTCAAGATAAAGTCCCAATTAAGCCTTTTTCTCATAGATTATTAGAAATGTCGGTGTCTGTTTAAACTGAATTCCCTCTCAATGGCTTTTTTCTTCCTGGTATCAGCTTTCCTGGGATCATAAGGCCTCTTTTACTGTCTCCCCCATGAAATGTCTGCTTTACTGCCAGGAAGAAAAGCACTCCAGCTCTGGATAGAAACATTACTTCGTGTGATAATCCCTTTTCACTTCCTGCTACTCCTTGGAAAACCATCGCTTTTCTCATTATTCACAGGCCACTTCTTCTGCAGAGCCCTGTGCTCTGTGACTCCACCAGCTGAGAAGGAAGGGGAGTGCTTGACACTTTGCAAGAATGAGTTAATCTCAGTGAAGATGGCAGAAGCAGGGTCCGAGCTGGAAGGCGTGTCCTTGGTGACAGGTCAGCGGGGCCTGGTACTGGTGTCAGCCTTGGAGCCTCTGCCTCTCCCTTTCCACCAGTGAGTAGCCATCTGCCTCCTGGGAGCAAGTCCCAGAGCAGACTGAGGTCTGCACAGAACAGAGTAGGCATGCTTTCAGATATGGGCATCCACAGTGTGGAGGAGAGAACAGATTCTGGGTGGCTCTTTATCTTTCTGTCTTTTTCTTTTCTTTTTTAACAATCAAGGTTTGTACAATCTGATGAAATTGGAGACAACTCTAAATTTCAGATGGGCATTGTAACAACTCTAAATTTCAGATGGGCATTGTACTTAGGAGCAAATATACCACATGACTGCCAATGTAGTGTTTCTCTATGTATGGACTGGGGACCACTTGTCTGGGCCTCCTTAGACTCTCTTGGGGTTGAGTTTAGGAATCTGCATTTTAAATAAACTTCCCAGGAGATGTTTTTCACACTAAAGTTTAAGAATTCCTGCTGGAGGATATGATAAACTTAAATATACAGATTGACAGTAAACATTACCTCACACCATGGACCTGTGTGTGGCTCTGGCAGAAATCCGACAGTTCAAATGTGAAGGGATTGTTCGTTAGTTATTTAACTGACAAACTACTTTCGGAGTCACAAAATATCCCAGGTCTGCTAACTTCTCACCTTTTCACATGTCCTGGCAAAAAGTAAGTTCTCAATAAACGTTTGCTATCATTTAAATAAGAGAAAAAACAATACTCATCATCATCATTATAATGATGGACTGTTCTGTTCCTTGTTGCAATTTTTTGAAATCCGTATTTGCAAACCCCATATTTTCATTGGCAGGTGGTTCCTAAAGAATTATCCAGGAAGCTGTGGCCTTTCCAGGAAGAGGGATTGGACAGGCTCCTATCAGATTGGTACGGCTGAGTCAAAAACATAGTATTGTTAGGGAGATAATGTTGTCCTGTCTCTCAATTTTATCTGCAGGTTTAGAGTCAGTTGATGTGAATTTCTGTTTTGTCTCTGCTAGGAACTGGATTTAGGGAAGCCAGTTTCTGTCTGTGCACATGGTTTTCCCTGCCTGTGAAATGAGAGGTCTCAATCCAGGGGGCAGCTACAAATGCCTGCAGGTGTGGGCAGGACACACAGATGCTAGGGGGCCTGGATGGAAGGTGTTAGGGAATGGCAGGAACAATTATGGATTTTAAGATACATGAGTGAAAAAAGAGCCTGTTGTGGGCCAAATTAAATGTTTTATGAGCCAAATGCAGCCTGTGGGCTGCCTGTTTCAATCTCTGGTCAAAACATTCTCTAATTTCCCTTGGAGTTTTGTAAAATTAACTTTGAATTTAGGAAGAGTAGAAATGCCTGGCACATAAGGGTACTCAGTAAAAATTTGTTGAATAAATGAATTATACACACACACACACACACACACACACAATTTAAATAATCTCTGTATGTGTGTATACACACACATATCTGTAAGTAGTGTAGATACGTATCTACTGGATAATGAAGTCCAACACTTTTTAGACATCTAGAAATACCTTCTGTTCATCTTCATCCATAGAACTCCCCTTCACCCCCCTCCCACACACTCCTACCACAAAATACAATTTTATAAGTGCTAAACCCAAATAACACAAAAAAAGAAATAGAAGGATTATGGAACCAAGACATCAGATCTAATCAGTTATTGATGACAAGCCAGATTTTTGGCTTCCTAAAGCAGTTCAGACTTGTTAGAATGCAAGGCTTTGAAGTCAGTTCTGGGTTCAAATTCTGGCTCCCCAACTTAAAACCAAGGTGGTCTTGGCCAATCCACCTGCCCTATGTTGCAACTTCCTCATTAGTAAAATGATACAATAAAACCAACTTCAATGTTGTTATGAGAACCAAACAAAATGACATCCATAGACCACTCTGTTCAGTTTCTTATACAATGTAGATATTTAACACGTGGTAGATCTCATCAACCCATAGAACAGTGGGAATTTCTGATCTTGAAAACACAAACTAGAAACTTGACCAAAAATGTCAGAAAAAATAGGCTAGTAGCTTTAGCAGAGAAGCTAAAGCAAATATCGAAACTAAGACACATAAAAGCCATTATCTCCACCAGGGCAGGATTCATAGAGAGGCTAACCAGCAGTCGGAAGACTTTTAAGTTCTTGACCCAGTTTTGCCACACATGCGATCCTTAGACAAATCACGTACCCTCTCTCCCTCTGTAATCTGGGAAAAGGGGATTCTGATCGTTTCCTTGCCCTTTGAGGCTCTTGGGAAGACCTGAGAAAGTGAATGCAGATTGTACTTTGTAAACTGGACAGAAAAACATTTATCAAAAGGTCATTGCTAGATCTTAGCTAGGCAATTTATCAGTTTGAGTAATTACCATAGTCAGAAAGGGAGTCTTTTGGATCCTTCTAAGTCATTAGCAGCTTTCTTTTCCACCAGTGGTAATGAGGCTAATGTTCATTGAGGGTTGACCAGGTACCAGGCATTGTGCACTGTATCTCTTTGATTCTTTTTAATATTTATAAGCAGCAGGTATTCTTATTATCCCCGTTTTACAGTTGGGGAGACTGAGAGTCATAGAGGCCAAGGGAGCTGGAAGGACATGGAAAGCTTCTCTGGTCGAGTGGTTCTCACACACTGGTCTGTGGATTTGTGCCAACCATGACAAAGCATTTACATGACAGTTGCAAAATCAGACAAACCAGGACAATACAGCGAGCTTTCCAGTTTCCCATAAGCTACGTTTATTCATTTTTAAGGCATATCCACTATCTGAGAATATCTTTTTTTATGTTTGTTAAGACATCTTTTCTTCGGTGAAAGTGGATTGTAGTTCTTTTAAAAATATGTCCTAGATTGGCAAAACGAAAAGCCAATTGTGCTGAGTCATTCCTGCCCATTTTGGGGTGGGGAGAGGAGTGAAATGTTACTGGTCCTTGACATTCTAAAGTCTGGGAATCCCTCATTTTCTATTGCATTGGAAGGTGATGGGAGGCTCATCTGTTCATGTCTTCTGTAGCTGATCTGTGTGCTATTTTCCACAGGCAGAGGACGCTGTAAGGCCATGAAGAGTTATGAGCCAGAAGAAAAGGATGAACTGAGTTTCTACCAGGGAGAAAGCATTGAAATCATTGGCTTTGTCATACCTGGGCTTCAGTGGTTCATTGGAAAGTCGACGAGTTCAGGACAAATGGGCTTTGTCCCCACCAGGAACATAGATCCTGATTCTTATTCCCCAATGTGAGTATTGACAGTGAGCATATCCTGGAGCTGGGCTGCCTTTCCCAGGGTTCCCTCCTCTCTTTGAGCAGATTTGCAGTTGAGCTTCGAGGGTGCCCTGGTAACATGGAGCCAGAAAAGCACATTCTGACACCAAGGTTGATATAGAGACTGATAGAAAGGAGAGAATGCATCAGTTCAATTTATTTTAACAGGTGGTCACTGAGGACTTCCTCTGTGCAAGGAAGGAAGCAAAACTCCAAGACAAAGGGCGTGCTGTTAAGCACTGAGGGTGCGGTTTTGGTGCTTGGATCCTGCTACCCACCCTGTCTAACCACAGGGCCCCTTCAGAGGAAGGGCACACACGGGGAATAATAGACGGGCAGTGTGCTGATCCCACGTAGGGCTGGGAGGTAGGTCTCATATAGATCTTCACTCATTCAGCTGTCAAGCTGAATGCTAATGTGTGACTTCAGCATTGGCTAGGAGGGCAGAGTGCTTCTCTTACTCTTTTCTGCCTTGAACCCAGAAAGGCTGGTTCCGAGGAGCAGACCCATTTGCCTGGCCAATCAGGAGAAGGTGGCCAGCCTGCTCCACCTACCCTGTCATGGAAGGACAGAGATATGGGGTATTGCCCCATCTTTTTGGAGTGGGCTTCCTACGTGGGGATAGGAAACAGTCGAAAGCCTGGGAGCAGGAAGTACACAGGGAAAGGGAGAGTTGGCTCCTAACATTGGCACAACATAGCTCCCCACACTGGGAAAATGTGGTCCAAGAAATGTCTAAGGATCTGAACAGAGACTGAAATTCTTTCTCTTGTGGGAAATAGCCAATGAAGAGAGCAGACCAAGGGGCAGAAGCTCTGTGTAAGCCCTGCCCTTCATGGGGAGAAGAGGAGACAGAAGGTTATTTTCTCCATGTAGAAATGTGGGAGTCCAAATAACCATAAACAAGGAAGACCACTCACTGAGCTCCTGGAGAGGGATGGAGAACTATGGGGACTTGTAAGGAAGAAAAGGATATCAAGAGAACTTCATGAAGAAGGTGGCATGGGAATTAAGATTTGCACAATGTAAAATATTTCAACAGATGTTGATGGGAAAAGAGGTCATAGGCAGAAAAGTGAGTCAGTGCTCGAAGAACGACTCATGTAGTTGGGAGGAAGTTACCAGAAGGGCACTGGGGCGGCAAAGGTGGGTCCATGCTCTGGAAACCTGGGAATGTCTGTGTCAGGGCCCTGTCCTTAGCCCGGCAGAGAATGGGGAGCCACTGCATGTCTCTGAGCAAGAGTGACATATTGTGTGACTGGACCTTTTCTCTAGGAAATAAAACCTGGCTTCGGGGTAGGTGTGCATCATCAGGGGGAATCTGGAGGCAGGAGACTCGAGAAGCCCAGGGTGGCACTTAGAAAATGGTGAGAATGGAGAGGAGAGGCCACTGCTGAGGACCAGTGGACAGGAAGTCAAAGATTCCAGGAGCTTTACACATATGGATACCTGTGTTCTCCCTCCAGAGGCTGTCATGTAACTGGTCTGTATGGGGGCTGGGCAATGGTATTGATAAAAGCACCCCAGGTGTGGCTGGTGGGCAGCCAAGGTGAGAACATTGCTCTGAGCCACCCCTTCGTGTTACCGCAGGGGGAACTGAGGACCCCAGAGGTGAAAGGGCTGAACCCAAGGCCTTCCCTCTGGAACCTTAGAATCCTGACATTATATCCAGTGAACTCTGGTTAAATGTCCTCGTGATTTTAAATCCTGACATTAAATCCAATACATTCTGGTGAGAAGTCCCAGTGAAAGGGAGAAAGAATAAAGAGAATGGAAAATAGGAATGGGGGAAGAACCCTGGAGGATGCCTCCATTTACAGAGCAGAGGAAGAAGAGAGAGCACAGAGAGGAGACAGAGGAGCCACAGAGAGGAAGAAACAAGCTGTGGGGGAGGTGGGGCTGACACCTGTGCTGTCATCAGAGAGACACAGCAGGGCCAAGTGAGGAAAGGCCTTTGGGACTGGCCATTGGGAGGTCTTCCGGAAGCACAGTAGCTAAATGACTTACAGAGTTCTGGAGTCAGGCTGCCCAAAAGGCTTTCATGACCATGTGAGTACAGCTTGTGCCTCCACTGGTTTACCAGCTCTGTGTCTTTGGACACATACATTTATCTCTCCATGCCTCAGTTTTCTCATCTGTAAAATGTGTAAAATGTTAGCATTTGCCTAACAGGATTGCTGTGACTGTAAATGAGCTAATAATACACACAAATACCTTAGAATGGTGCCTGGCACTGTGTGTGTGTGTGTGTGTGTGTGTGTATGATCCACAGGCACTTGTTCTTATTGTTGTTTGTGTCATTGCCATTGTTGTGGGTGGTGATCTGGAGAGGCAGTTTTAATACGATATTGGGGACAGGTGTCATTTTCATAACTTCTATTTGGACTTCTGCACCTCACGCTAATTTACCTCAAATGACAGTAAGTCAGCACTACTGAATTAATTCAGTCATCACATTTTCACTGGCTTAGCTGTAAGGGGTCCTCTCACACTGAAGAACAGTGTCCCCCGTGCTGTGTGAGGTGGACTACGACATTCTCCCATGCCTGGTCAGTTGTGGGACCCAATGCACCAGAGGTTGCACATTTGGCACAGAAGGGGAAAATGAGCCAGCAAACAGGGAGGGAGGGGTGGCACAAGGAGAAGAGGGGAACCGGCTCCTTGCATATCCCCAAAAGCACTCGCCAGATATCAGAGCTCCTTGAATCACAGCAACCGAAACATGGGTGTTGAGCTCAGAGGAATGACCCAACTTCACGCAAGTAAGCGGCTGAAGTCTCTGCACGCTGCCTTCCGACTGGCCACTGGGTGTCACTCTTTCTCTATGTTCGTTGGGCGTCAGGGTCTGAGAAGAAATTCAGCCTTTGCTGACGTCTCCATCTTCTCCGTGTAGGTTCTCTTTTTGTGCTTGTATATTACTCCCTAAAGGATGTGTGTATACTTACGTGCCTAAATTTAAAAACTAAGTAAGATTGATAAATTAATGTACTCAAAACCAGAAAAAAGAACATTGGAAAAAAGCTAGTATTTGATAGTATTACAGTTAGAAAACATTGTTTTGTTACATCCCCTCTTTTATTCTTCATATTGCCTGTGTCTTTATAATTCAGTTTCTTGTGGCATCTATTTTTGCTACTAATAATTTTGCCATTGGTCTCATAGCCATTTCTTTGCATGCTGTGTCTACGTGTAATATATTTTATTACATATTGACAGTAGGTTGTCCCCTTCTTCTTCACAGTGTATCTATTTTAGTAGCTATTTCAGTGAAGATCTGTGGGTTATAAATACTGTCAGTCCTGAGTCTTGGCCTGTCTTAAATATATATAATACTTAAAATATATTCTTGAATGATAATTTAGCTAGGTATAGCATAACATCTTCAAAGTTTGCAGGAAAAAATAACTTTAAATATAAAATTGCAAATCCATGTTGCCAGGGCCTTGTCCATTTTGTTAGTCTTTTCAGAGAATCATTTTTTCTTTCATTGACCATCTTTATTGGTTTTTGTTTTTATAATGATACTTCATTAATGACAACATTTGCCTTGATTATTTTCTTCTACTTTCTTTGTTTTTATTTCATTAATTTATGATGTTATCTTTTATATTTAATTCATTCCATGAAATTGAACTGTCAATAGTAATTAAACCAAGAAAGGAGGCGTAGGAGAAATAGACAACTTCAAAAGACCTGTAAGCATAAAGAAATGGACATCATGTTAAAAATGATATTATTTTTATTTATTTTGCTCAGGACTTGGTGGGTTTCTTCAATATGAAGATTCATGTCTTTCTTCAGTTCTGGAAAATTTTCAGTCTTTCTTCCTTTGAATATTGCCTCTCTCTCATTCTTTTTAGTCTCTCTTCTGGAATTCCTATTACAGGTACGTTGGACTTATTCTATCCTCATTCTTGCTTAATTAGTTTTTTTATATTTTTTTATGTTTGTCACACCAGGCTAAATTCGATTGGTTTTCTTGACATAATCTTCAGTTTCACTAATTCTCACCTCTGCTATGACTAAACTTGCTGTTTAACCCACCCACATAGTTCTTTATTTCTGTGCCTTTATTTTCCATTTTCCAGGATTTGTATTTTGCTATTTTTCATATATAGCTGTTTCTTCTCACAGTGTTCCATCTTTTCGTTGTAGCTTCTATTTTTTCTAATTATTTCACCTTTTTAATCACTCTTATAAATTCTTCTTCAGATTATTGTCATTTCTAGTTTTTTTTTTAGTGTTAATATAGTTATTTGTGCACTGTTAGCTCTCTTTGTGAATAGTTCATTTTATTGCATGGTTTGTATTTTTTGTTACATGAACTGATTTTCAACATTTTAAAAGATGGGCTTTATATGGATCCTGGACTGAGGAAAACCTTGCTGACTAGGTTTTGCATTTGCTTCTCCTGGAACCTTAGGAAGTAATGATCCAAGACTGATTTTTTACTGTTAATTCCTGGAACATGGTAGCAACACCAGGTAGTGGAAATTCAGATCCCACACGTCCCAGTGGCATAAGCCTAGGTGTTTGATGTTTTCCAGGAACTCAAATAGGTGAAAACTGTGTTCTCGGCAGGTAGGAAGAAATTTTCCAATCTGCTCTTTACAGCAGTTGAACCCTTTCAGACTGCAGGGAGTTTAATTTGGCTCCCTGCTTCAGGCAGGTCTGAGTCACATCTCCTGTCCTTGGGGTGGGCATTAGAAGGTCAACCCCAGTTTTGAAGGCCAAAGTCCCAGCTGAAACCACCAGGGGCTCTGGGCCATCCGCTCTTACCTGCCAGTCTGGGTTTGGTTTTTGCTTATGTTACTGGCTTCCAGTGATTTCCCTTTCTTTCTTTAAAGAATGTACTAAAATATTCATCTTTGTTACATTTTGTCCAGGATTTTTCTGTAGATATGGAGGAAAGTGGCCCTTTTAGAGCCCTTCAACATGCCATATTGCCAGAAGCTTTGCCATGTTCTTCTAACCCAGTTTTCATGTTTGGAAATCTCAAATGCAATTTGTTAAGCTTCTTGGCCTTTCTCTAAATTCTAAATTCTCTAAGTTGTCCTGGAACTCAGGACTTTAGTAGATGCTGTGAGGCAATGCACACAGAGGTAGAAGACCTCAGTTTTAGTTTCAGCTTTACCACTTTCTAGCCATGCAATTCTTAGCGTGTCACTGAACCGTTCTGAATCCTTTTCTTAATCTACAAACATGGATTTAAAAAACCTGCACCATAAGTTGTTATCAACAGTAAATGAAATAGTAAATGTAGGAATACATTGTAAAACTGAAGAGATCTATGAAACTTCGGAATCAACTTACCCCAATTGAACTTAGTTGTAGATTTCAATTACATGCTGTTTTGAGATTGGAAGCTTCCATGGTATTGGGGAGAATCTAGTGACCAGCCCAGGGAGATGGGGACCCAGTAAGTGTGGTGCTATTATTAGTTTTCTCATCACGGGCTTTCAAACTACATTTACCTGAGTTATGGGGACAAATGGTAATGGCTGATTACAGTACCCCCATCCCATCCCCTCCTTGAACACTGCTTTAACTAGAGAAGTTCTTATGTCCTGCTCTACCACTCCCTAACCACCAACTTCATTTTGCTGTGCCTCAGTTTATTCATCTGTAAAAAGGATAAGAGTAGTACCTGCCTTGTATGGCAAATGTGTGGATTAAATAAAATAACAGTATCTGGTTTTTCATATCACTTCCTTCCAAAGTATTAGCTACTATCAACTCCTGGGTTTCCAAGTTAATTTTGTTTTAAAAATGGGTTCTGACATTAAAACATTCTCTTTTTAGTACTAAAAGTGACCTAAAAAATTGTTCAGCTAGATGCAATCCAGTAGCTTCTAAGGCACTTCTAGTTTTTAAATTACTCAATTCTGTAACAAATCTCCAGTGAGCAAATTAGGCTTAACAGTTAGTTTATACAACAGCATGAGTATCAAGATCTCTATTGTTTATAATCATTTCTTTCAGCTCCCCTGATCTTCCTTTTACCCACTTCTTTCCCTTAGTGATTCCAATCCTCTTAATGTTGACTAGACTGTTGTTCTATGCCATGGAATCAGACCTTAACAATGGTGAAAGATTCCTCTGACTATGGTCAGATTTTCTTCATTGTTCCTCTAGATTGTGTCACTTGTCCCTCACTTTTTATTGAAATAACCTAAGGACAAATATACCTTTTAAATGGTCCCTTTTCAACACTTCCATTTAGAGCAATCAGTTCCTTTTTCTTCCATTAAAGATGGGTACCATGGGGTCTCAAAGAATGGGTAGAGGTTGAGAGAAGGGGCTTTGTATTTCTTGGGAGATGGGGTTTTAAGAGGAGGGGTGTTTTCATCCCCACTTTGACCTACCGGACAACCATACCCCTCAGTTCTCCCAGCATGATGTGCAATAGCTCTTCTTTTTTGGGGGTATAAATACAGTATGCAACGGTGAGATGAGGAATCCAGTTTCATCTACGGGCAGATGGCTCGACGGCTTTTCTGCATCCTCCACTACATCCTAGAGAAGAGGAGATGGAGTCTGAAGCCTTGTACTAATCTGTCTCTACGTTTTTTGCCCCGATGCAGGAGCAGGAACTTTGCCTTTTTCAGTGATGAGGAGAGATGCTCCCTGTTGGCCCTGGGAAGTGATAAGCAGACTGAATGTTGCAGCTTCCTCCACACTCTTGCTCGCACTGACATCACATCTGTATACCGGCTCAGTGAGTGTTGGTCCTCAGACACCTTCAAAAGCCTGCGGTCCTCAAGAATAAGATAGTGTCCCTAACCAGGAGTATTCTAATCCTATTCATGAATTTGGGTGGCCATGACCACTATTCTGTTGATGACCTGAATCGTATTTGATTAGCAGCATTTCACTTCAGATTCCAGGTAATTCTGGGGTTGCAGGGGAACTATGAGACATGATGAAACCAACTTACCTATATCATGGGTGGTCGGCTGTATTGGGTCTTCCCTCCTAATCATGGGAAAGGAGAACTTCCTGAGTCCTGGCTGAGGTACCTTCTAGGACTGAAGTAGGCCCCCGGTGACTTGGGTGGGGCTGCAAATGTTACCGCTGTGAAAAGGCCTTAAGGGATGATTGCTTGTCTCACATTACAGATTGGGAAACAGGCCTCAAAGAATTAGTGCCTGAGCTAGGATGAGAACTGCTAGTCAGAGCAATCCACTTTACCACACTTCCCCCTACACAAAATGACACTGAATTGTTGGATGTGTTAGTCTTGGATGTTTTCTATGTCACAGAATCAGATCTCAACAATTGTGAAAGATTCCTCTGACAAACTGACTAGTTTTCAGCAGTGTCTGAAGGACAGACTGACTGAATGAATGATATGCATTTCCCTTACTTTGAGAAAGGCCTGCTGCTCTGTGTCAGGGAGTACATTTTCTTATTGATGGTGACTTGAGGAAGAATTTTTGTTTCTCCCATCTCTTTATCGAGGGTGACGTTGTGTCCGCTCCTGTGTAGCCAGATTAGATGATCCATATTTTATGGATACAGTCAGAGATTCTGCTGAAAAGGCCCTCGGGCCATCTCCCAGGAGTAGAGCGGGGAGCTGAGAGCTTTGTCCGTGCATAAAGAGCATTTGTGAAAGCATTTGCCTCAGGCATCAGCACCCTGTCCTAGCAGAGCTTTCTTGCCACAAGCCACAAGCAGCTCACACTGCCTTATGAGGTTGAGCAGGAAGCTAGAGTTGTAAGCACTGCCTAGTAGATGGGAGCCTGATGTCTGAAAATTGAGGTGTACTAGCAGTGTTCCTTGGGGAGAAGGCCTGGGGTGCAGACTTGGATCATGATTTCTGCCAGCTGTTGGTCCAGTGGTGGGGAGGATGCAAGAGGAGGCCCCAGACAGCACTTGCCTCTCACTCAAAGATCAGGAATGCAGCTCTGCAGCGTGCAGTCTGCACCTTAGGGTTGTGCAGGCTGCCCCAGCACCAAGGCAAGCAGCAGAATATCTTGTTGGTAAATTGCAGCTTCCCCAAAGCTTACACCTAGGGAAGGATGGCCCTCTGTAATTCTTCCTCCTAGAGAGGGGTCACCACTTTGTAAACTTGCGCATCACTCATGCTCCTGGTGTCCTGGCCAGGAGAGAAGAGGTGGCCCACGAGGGTCATGTGCCCCTGCACATCAGAGAGGCCAGCGGGCTTGAACAGCTCTCCTTAGCCAAGCTCTACAGCTCTCCATCTTGAGCTGCGGGGCTTTCTACCCTTTGGGGGTTGCAGATCTGGAGTTTCTGCAATGACAGTCTCTGGAGAAGCCCTCTCTGGAGAACAGCAGGAAAAGGTTTGACTTGGTGAGGGGCTTGCTGGTCCTCAAAGTTCACTGGAGAACTCAGGGTGGTGGCACAGACAGTTGTTACTTCTCTGCTAAGAAGAGGTAGAATCTTCCCTCGAGCAGCTGCCATCCTGTGAAGTGTGAAGCTAGCCTTCACTCCACAGTTCCGCTGAGGCTGTTTTAGCTAACAGCGGTCACTTCTTCACTGCCAAACCCAAGCTGTCTTCTTGGTTCTTACCTAGTCCGGTTGTACTTGGTGGCATTGGGTGGCTATGTTTTAAGTCACCTTGGTCTCTGTAACCCCCTTTTCTCTCTGACTGTGCCTTTTCAGTCTCCCTCACTGGCTACTGGCTGCCAGTGAGTTGCTCAGGCTTAGTAACAAACTCCCCCTCCCTCACTCCCCTTACTGCTTTTCTTTTCCCCCACATGCCTCACCTGTGTGATCACATTTAGTCCTGGGACTCTGGCCAGCAATGTGTGACGTGCTGTGGGTCACAAACCTGTGTTTGCAAAGTCTCAGTTTTTCTCCTTGGCTCTAGACCTACATCATGATCTGCCTAGAGCTCCTGCAGGTACCTCAAACCCCGAATGTCTAAAACTGCACTCCAGATTCTCCCATCCTCTACTTCATCCTCAGACGCATCCTTGCTCCTTTTTATTTGCCCTTCACTTCTGGCCCCTCGCCCCTGCCGCTTTTACAAACACAGTGTCCAGCCGAATGGATACATGGAACCAAGGTCTGACAAGTGGATGAATGATGAATGAATGGAGAGGGAAGAAGCAAGGATGTGATACATTTGGGAGTGGGAGGAAGCACCATGTGCTCCCACATGCTCTGTGCTGGGAGTTGTGTCCTGACTCCATCGTGAACTCGCTGAGAGATTTGGGAGCCGCATCTCTCTGATCTTCAGATTCGATCACAGCCTCCACTGTCCCCACCCCCCATCCCCTTACAGTACCCACACCTCTTGACATACAGCCTGTGTTTCCAGCTTTTCTTCTAGGGCTCTGAGTTTCACGTATACCTTAGTCCCCAACTGTAAAGTGCATGGGTTAAACAAGATGATTAGGCCCCTGCAGCTCTTAAGATGATGGTGAAAGGATAATTCTGCCCTGTTCCTTAATGATGACTGAAGGTCTTAAATGCCAAGTCTCCTAAGGGGCTACTGGTCTGGGGTACACCTGGAGGCATGGGCCTGATGGCCCATCCTGACCTAACACCAGATCTGTTCTTCATCTCTACTTAGGTGGGTTTGAATCCATCCAGAATCCTCCAAATGATCTGAGTGGTGAGTAGCGATCATGCTGAACCTGACATTCATCCTTGAGGACAGCACTTCTGTCCTCTTGCCAAGAGCGGCCACCTTAGGTGGAGGTGCCCAAGGTTGCTCAACTTTGCCTGTCCTTACAGCATCCCAGCCCGAAGGCTTCAAGGAGGTCAGGCCTGGCAGAGCCTGGGAGGAGCATCAGGCCGTGGGCTCCAGACAGTCCAGCAGCTCTGAGGACTCCAGCCTGGAGGAGGAGCTCCTCTCGGCCACCTCAGACAGCTATCACCTGCCGGAGCCCGATGACCTTGATGACCCGGAACTGCTCATGGACCTAAGCACTGATCAGGAGGAGGAGGCTGAGAACTTCACCCCCATATTGGCTTTTCTGGATCATGAGGGTTATGCCGACCACTTTAAGAGTCTCTATGACTTCTCCTTCTCTTTCCTCACTTCTTCCTTTTATAGCTTCTCTGAGGAGGATGAGTTTGTGGCCTACCTGGAGGCATCAAGAAAGTGGGCCAAGAAGAGCCACATGACCTGGGCCCATGCCCGGCTCTGCTTCCTCCTGGGCCGGCTGAGCGTCAGGAAGGTCAAACTCTCTCAGGCCAGGGTGTACTTTGAGGAGGCCATCCACATTCTCAATGGAGCATTTGAGGACCTATGCTTGGTGGCCGCTCTGTACATCAATTTGGCTGCCATCTACCTGAAGCAGAGGCTGAGACATAAAGGCTCCACCCTGTTGGAAAAGGCAGGTGCCCTGCTGGCCTGCCTGCCTGACCGTGAGTCTAGTGCCAAGCATGAACTTGACGTAGTGGCCTACGTGCTGCGCCAGGGGATCGTGGTGGGCAGCAGCCCGCTGGAGGCCAGGGCCTGCTTTCTGGCCATCCGCTTGCTCCTGAGCCTAGGCCGGCACGAGGAAGTCCTGCCCTTCGCCGAGCGCCTGCAGCTCCTCTCTGGACACCCTCCTGCCTCTGAGGCTGTGGCTAGTGTTCTGAGTTTTCTGTATGACAAAAAATATCTTCCACACCTTGCAGTGGCCTCCGTCCAGCAACATGGTATCCAGAGTGCCCAAGGGATGTCTCTTCCTATTTGGCAGGTCCACCTGGTCCTCCAGAACACAACCAAGCTCCTTGGCGTTCCCTCCCCAGGCTGGGGTGAAGTTTCTGCCTTGGCCTGCCCAATGCTCAGACAGGCCCTGGCTGCCTGTGAGGAACTAGCAGACCGGAGCACCCAGAGGGCCCTGTGTCTCATCCTTTCCAAAGTGTACCTCCAGCACAGGTCTCCTGACGGTGCCATCCACTACCTGAGCCAGGCCTTGGTGCTAGGGCAGCTGCTCGGTGAGCAGGAATCCTTTGAGTCTTCTCTCTGCCTGGCGTGGGCCTATCTCTTAGCCAGCCAGGCCAAGAAGGCTTTGGATGTGCTTGAGCCACTGCTAGGCTCCCTGAAGGAGACAGAGAGTCTCACTCAAAGGGGAGTCGTCTATAATCTCCTGGGACTTGCACTCCAAGGTGAAGGCCGGGTGAACAGGGCAGCCAAGAGCTATCTTCGGGCCTTGAACAGAGCCCAGGAGGTGGGAGATGTGCGTAACCAGGCAGTGGCTATGGCCAATCTTGGCCACCTAAGCCTTAAGTCCTGGGCTCAGCATCCAGCCAGAAACTATCTCCTGCAGACTGTACGACTCTATTGTGAACTTCAGGCCAGTAAGGAGACAGACATGGAATTAGTACAGGTGTTTCTCTGGTTGGCCCAAGTTCTGGTGTCTGGACACCAGCTGACCCATGGCCTTCTTTGTTATGAAACGGCATTGCTGTTTGGCTTAAGGCATCGACACCTAAAGAGTAAGTATGTCCCATGCTGCTGGGAAGCTATAGAGAAAACTGTTGAAGCAAGTTTTGTCTGTTTCCTATCACAAGTCATCTCATTCATGTTCCTGCTTTGTGTTCAGGTCAGCTTCAGGCCACCAAATCCCTCTGCCATTTCTACAGCTCTGTGTCCCCAAATCCTGAGGCATGTATCACCTACCACGAGCACTGGCTGGCCCTGGCTCAGCAACTCAGGGACCGGGAGATGGAAGGGAGGCTGCTGGAGTCCCTAGGGCAGCTTTATCGGAACCTCAACACCGCCAGGTGAGTCAGGGCTCAGGAACTGTCCTAGAAGTAGCTTTCCTTCCTTAGGGAGAAGCAGTGTTCTTTTCCACAGGAAGCCAAGTCCAAATGTACACGGTATAGGAGGGGCACTGTGCAAAAGAGCAAGGGCTCTGCAGCCACCACAGTGCATCCATCACTTATTAGTGGTGTGGCCTTGGGCAAACTGTTTAATTTCCCCATGTCTCAGTTTCCTCATCAGCCAAAGGAGGATAATAATGGCATCTATCTTACAGTGTTATTGTGAAGAATAAATGAGTTAATGCTCATAAAACACTCATAATTGTGCCTGATACATAGGTAGGTCTCAGTAATGTTAACTATGCCACTATTACTTGTGTGTTTCTATAACCCTATCCCTATCATGGGATCATGGCTGAGGGTGCATAATTCAGAGAAGTGGCAGTTATACCAAGGACAGAGGAACCTTCAGGAGGTCTTCATTACCGAGGGCAATTGGTTTTAAAGAAAGGACACCCCCACTGAAAGCAGGGGTGTAAAATATCAAGGTAAAAAAAACTTTTATTGGGAACTTACCTTTAAAATGAAATTGTAGATTATGAAATGAAGTGTGTTTTCACCTTTTAGTTAAGAATATTTAGATTATAATTTCAACTATGCATTAAGTCTTAGAATAAACATGGAATAAAAGGAGTGTTGACTTTTTGGCTTAATTGTGCTGACAAAATTATGTGACAGCACAATGGGGCATTCTTTGTTTTGTGATTGATTTTTTAGCACTACCTTAAAAATCCTCATTTTTTAAAAAAGAAATCAAAACTTAACAGTTTAACCCAAATGCCTCCTTTAACCCTTTGGTATTCACATTATTATCACTTGCAGATTTTGCCATCTTCTGTTTATTTTCTCTTCATTGTTTCTTCACTGGTCTAATGCTGCTTCATCCTCATTTGCCAGTGGGCAGACTGAAGTTCTGCTTTGTAACAAGCCTTAAATTGATTCCATTAAATCCTGCATGGTTTGCAGGATCTTCAAGTTCACTTTGCAACAGATTTGCCTTGCAGGATTCCATTCATAATTATAAATGACTTCTAAAATACAGCATACAGAATAGCTTGTAAATTCGCTACTGTTAAGCAGAGAGAGAGGTGGTTGAGGAGAAGATAATTAAATGAAATTTTTTTTTTTTTTTTTTTTTTTTGCATTTCTAAGCAACATGGTAACTGTGTGCACCTGGACAATCAGATAAGGAATAATCAGATAATGAATTCCACTCCCCCTTCTCTTTCTCCTCCAGTCTGTCTCCCTCTCACTCTCCTTCACTCTTTCCCTCTCTTACAAGAATCAGGTATCCTCCAAACCTCCTGCTGTCTTTGCCTTCAGTCCCAGGGAGGGAGCTTTGGATCCATGCAGCATGTGAGGAGTCAGGAGGCCCCAGCTCCACCCTGCTTTAATTCTAGGACACCCTAGGAGTCTGAATGCTTCTGGAGAAGATCCAGAAGGCAGGCTTGAATTAACTATTGAGATGACATAGTCATATGCTCATGGTGAAGTATTGTAGGATTGGGCTCCTGATCCTGCCATGACCTAATAATGTATCCTTAAATAAGTCACTTTTCCTCTTGGTCTCCTTCTGTCTGTAAAGATAAGTTGAATCAGGTACCTTCCAGCTGTAAAACGTTGAGTCTGGGACCAGCTAGTTATGCTATTCTGACACTGAATATTCATACTAGAATTCCTGCTGCTTCCAAAGTGTATTGAATTTTTGGTGCAGATTCTTAAAGTTGTGGGCTTTCTAGGGTGCCTTTGAAATCAGAGACCTCAGCTTTTAGGGGTTGAAAGACTTTGTAGTATGTTCAGAAGGTCTTGTGGGCAGACATTATGTCTAGCACAGAGCTTGGCACAGAAGAGACATACAGTGCATGTGTGTTTAGAGTAGCCAAGTCATTAGTGAGTAACTTAGTCCACTAGCTCACAGTCCTTGAGCTGAAGCTATATGCTGACACGGCTACTGATGATTATGATGGAGAATGGTGGAGCTTTGTGTGGGGGAGTCCCTGGCTCCTTTGCTTAGGGCTCAGGTAAGGAAAGAAAGGTGTTTGCAGCTTGAAGGCAGGCTCTTTGGTCTTTAGTGACCAGCACAGTAGCCGCAGTGCCATGAGTGGAACCTCAGCTGCCCATTCCAACAGCCCTTTGAGAACACTGGCCTATACAGTATTAGCCACAGAACACGGTGTGTCTTTTCTTAGGGATTCTCCTCTGATAAAGAACCAAATTACATATAGTGAAGTAGAATATCAGAGATTTGATATTCTACTTCGTGAGGAACATAGTTTTTTCTAAAATTATGTAGTTGCTTAAGGTTAAAAAGCATTACACCTTTTTAACCAGGCTGAGGCAGGTGGATCACTTGAGATCAGGAGTTCAAAACCAGCCTGATCAACATGGTGAAACCCTGTCTCTACTAAAAATACAAAAAAGTTAGCCAGGCGTGGTGGTGGGTGCCTGTAATCCCAGCTACTTGGGAGGCAGAGGCAGGAGAATTGCTTGAACCTGGGAGGCGGAGGTTGCAGCAAGCCGCGGTCACATCACAGCACTCCAGCCTGGGTGACACAGCGAGACTGTGTCTCAAAAGGAAAAAAACAACAACAAAAAAAGGTTACACTAGTATTGAAGGTTATAGGTGAAAAATAAAGGTTCCCTTCCAACTTCCCTTTCCTTGATACTTTCCTGAAGTAACTACTTAAAGATTTTAAAATACCCATGAAGGAATATTTCATGCATATTAAAGATTATATATGATACATATTTTCTATCTTAAATAAATATTAGATATATTAAATATAATATGCACATGTTTTAGTTACATAAATGGAATCAAGATAAAATTTCTATTACATAATATACTGTTCTCTTACTTGCTTTTTTTCATTTAAAAATATCACTGTGAAATGTCAATCCAACATTTTATCACACTATGGGAGCCCTTCCATTGTGTCAGGCACTGTGGTAGGTATTGGGGAATTCAGTGGTTAGAAAAAACAATCCAAATACCCACAAACAGAACAGTCTGCCCTGTGTAAGAGTGAGCTTGTTGCCTTTACAAGTATTCAAACGAGACCGACTATTCAAAAATTTTATTAAAGAGTTTCTTGAATTGAGCTGGATCTGGAACTACGTACTAACAGTTTTATTGAGGTTTAATTACACACCATAAAATTCAGCCTTTTGAAGTGTGCGATTTAGTTTTCAGTATATTCACACAGTTGTGAATATCACCACTATCTGATTTCAGAACATTTTCATGGCCCCTGAAAGAAAGCCTGTACCCATCAGCAGTCACTCGTCATTACCCAACCTCGCTTCAACCCTGGAAACCACTAATCTACTTTCTGTCTCTATGGATTTGCCTATTCTGGACATTTGATATAAATGGAATCATACAGTATTTGTCCTTTTGTGTCTGGCTTCTTTCACTTAGCATAATGTTTTCAAGGTTCATCCATGTTGTCACATGTATCAATATTTCATTACTTTTTATGGCCGAATAATATTTTGTTGTACTGATATGACACATTTGTTCATTCCTTCATCAGTTGATGGACATTTGAATTGTTTCTGCTTTGTGGCTATTATGAATAATGCTGTTGCAAACATTCATGAACAAATTTTTGTGTGAAGAAGTGTTTTTGTTTCTCTTGGGTAAACCTAGGAGCAAAATTACAGAGTCACACCATAATTCTATATTTAAACTTTTGGGGACCTGCTAGGTTGTTTTTAAAAGTGGCTGCACTATTTTTCATTCCTGTTAGCAATGCATAAGGGTTCCAATGTCTCTCATCTTCACCACCACTTGTTAGTGTCTGTCTTTTTAAATTTTAGTCATCCTAGCGGGAGTGAAACTGTATCTCATTGTGGTTTTGACTTACATTTTCCTAATGACTAAAGATATTGAGCATCATTTCATGTGCTTCTGGCCCTTTGCATATCTTTGAAGAAATGTCTATTCACTTGTCCATTTTTTAAATTGGGTTGTTTGTCTTTTGATTTTTGAGTTGTAAAAATTCTTTATATATTCTGGATACAAGTCCCTTATCAGATATATGATTTACAAATATTTTTTCCCAGCCCGTGGTTTGTCTTTTCACTTCTTGATCCCTCATAGAATGAGTTGGGAAATATTCCTTCCTTTTCAATTTCTTGAAAGAGTTTGTGAAGGATTGGTGTCAATTCTCCTTTAAACATTTGATGAAATTCACCAGTGAAGACTTCTAAGTCTTGACTTACCTTTGTAAGGAGTTTTTTTGTTTTGTTTTTGAAAATTGCTAATTCAATATCATTAGTTGTTATAGGTTTATTTAGATTTTCTATTTCTTTTGGAACAGTTTTGGTAGTTTTTGTCTTTCTTGGAATTTGTCCATTTCATCTAAATTAACTAATTTGTTGGTACACAATTGTTCATAGTATTCTTTTATAATCTTTTTATAATTTCTATAAAGTTGGTAGTATTGTCCACTTTAATTCCTGAGACTCTTCTCTCTTTTTATTCTTGATCAGACTAGCCAAAGATCTGTCATTAAAAACAATTTTTAAACAAATTAAATGTTGGCTTTATTGATTTTTTTCTATTCTCTATATCACGTATTTTTGCTCTCATCTTTATTATTTTCTTTCCTCTGTTTGCTTTGGGTTTACTTTGTTCTTTTTGTCTAGTGTCTTAAGGTAGAATATTAGGTTATTGATTTGAGATCTTTTTCTCTTTTAATATAAGCATTTACAGCCGTAAATGTTCCTCTGAGTTTTGTGCCTATGCCATTTTATATATCTCAGTATGCTGTGTTTATTGTCATTCATCTGAAAGTAGTTTCTAATATCCTTTGTGATTCTTCTTCAGTTCACTGGTTATTTAGGAGTATGTTGTTTAATTTTCACATATTTGTGAATTTTCCAAATTTCCTTCTGTTACTGATTTCTAATTTCATTTCATTGTGGTGGGAAAACAAACTTTGTATGATTGTATT